CCTTTGTTCACATATGTTCTTTGAAATTGTAAATTTAAAAATTTAATTTTTTATCATGATTAATCACAACCCTTTATTGTAAGAATCAATGGCCAAGATTGTTAACAAAATTAACACAATAATTTTGGTTAACATTTGAACCAACCCCTATATATATATGTATATATATATATATATATATATGGAGAGAGAGAGAGAGAGTCAACTTCCTATAAGAATGTACCTAAATAAGAAAACAGTCAAATCACATGTGATTTTACACTAAAATCAAGTATAAAATCACATATGATTACCATTCTCGTATGAATCTACCCCTCTCTCTATATATATGTGTGCGTTTTTTCTTCTATCAAAATATGATTATTGATCATTATTTTGTAGGATTAAAGAATTGATAATGCCTATCCATTAATTAGTAGCTTGAAATATTTGATCTTCTATCAAAATGTGTTCTCATTTATACATGATTGATCACTTTAGGGCAAATTAACCCAAAAGTATTTGAAAGAGATGGAGGTCATAACGTCCATTGTTTACTTTACACATAACACAACACACATAGAAAAACCCCATCAAAAATAATGAGATAAGATAATAATCTTATTCAAATATCTCATATATAATAACATTTAGGCGATGAAGATTATTTTAAACAATTAAGCACATACACAAATTAAACCTTTTCATTTATCATCATCTTTTAAAAATTACCCCGAACTTTTATATCCGAATACCCTATTATCACAATATCCTTCAACCACAAAAATCGGTAAAATTCAATCAATTCAATCCACGAAACAAACATTACCAAATATTTGGTTAAAGAATTTGTCATTTTAATTCCTACATATTCACCAAACCAAACAACTTCTAGGATTGAAAGTAAAACATTTTTGTTCCGAGTCTATATACATCATAAAAATAACTTGAGAAATGTTTCTTTGTAATGATTTTTGTAATTATTCTAATAGATGTGTTTGGTACATTGGACCTGACAAAATAAAACAAAACATGAATCACTATTCCATATTTGATAGAATTTTTATATAAAACAGACATAAACAAAATGGAACAGTCTTGTTTCACTCCACCCTATGGAACAAGTTGGAACAGACTTATATTTTATCAATACTAGAAGGGTACTCACACAATAATGCAGCGAGATATTTTTCGATTTTAGTGTTTCGTTTTTTTTCCAGTCGATGTTATAATACGATTTTATGTGGTTTTTAGAAAACGATAATGTTTTTATTTTTGAATAAAATATAAATATGAAGATTCATAAAAAAATTGAAAACAAAATATTGATGTTAGTACTAAACTAACTATTTGAAAATTTCTTTTTTTGCGTATTTATTTAACTCATTTTTTTATTTTTTATTTAATAATATTTTTTTATAAAATACTAATTAATGATTTTGTTAGAACTCAATGATTATCATAATTATATTTTAAATTTTTTATATTTAAAATGAGATGTATATTCTATATTTGATTATGTTTATCTATAGTTAATAACTTGTACTCACGCACAATTTACTTGTATTCTTGAATTTTAAGTAATATGAATCACTAAACAATACTTCATGCATAAAAAATAATTTTTAAGAGTTTTTTTGTCAAATGCTTTATAATATAGCATAGATAACCTCAAAATAAAACTTAATTTTCTTCTAAAACATCAAATACGTTTTCCTCCTTACATTTTATTCATTCTTTAAATCTTTATTTATTTATATTTTAATTTCCCTTATACTTTCATTTTACTATCTTCAAAATATTATTTCTATATAGTTTCTATATTTTGATTAATGTATGTAATTTATCAAATATTAATAATAAAAAATATAAAAAATGTATGAAATTGAAATTGAAATTGAAATTGAAATTGAAAACCACATAAACCTTTTATTTGGGTATTATTTTAATCATCTTGACGAAAATTTAGTAATATATTTTGTTTTAGAAAATATTTATTTTCTTATAATTTAATGAATTACATAATTAATCAAAATATATAAAATATATATTCTAAAATAAATTAAATTCAATGACCTTGAAACTCCCATAAAACCTTAAAAATACACCATAACATTGTTTTGCAAAACCAACTTCTAAGGGGGTGTTTGGGATTGTTTATTTTAGGTGTTTTTTTGACTTATTTCAGTCTGACATCGTTGATAAGCTAAATGCTAGTGTTTGAATGAAGAAAAATAAAACTGCTTATACCGGTGTCAAACCGGTAATAAACAGTTTTTGATAAGTTAATCCTTACTAACTTATGAAAAACTGTTTATTACCAATTTACTATTTTAACCTTGTTTTATTAATGTTTGTTAATTATTAATCTTATTGATATAAATTATTAATCTTATTGATATATTTTTTTGTCAAAGATATTATTATAAATGATGAAAAATAAATTTTTACATGTTAAAAAATCAAATAAGTTAATAAGCAATCTCAAACATTCCCATAAGTATATGATATGGAAGACTATATTTTTTGGTCATTTTACATATATAAGCAAAATTTGTCAAACACTACAAAACAACTTATCAACTTATTGCTTTTTGGTACCGCTATAAGCTAATCCAAACACTTTTTACAAAACTCCGGTTTGATACCACATAAGTTAATAAGCACTTTTACTTTGTGAAATCTTCTAAGATGTTAATAGGTAAAAGAATTGGAGTTGGTTGAATATATTTCCCGAAATAACCTAATCCTTTTTTGGTAAGACCCGCATAGAAATATGCCACTRACGTGAGTAAAGCCAAAGCAACAGTAGTCTTTATATCATTCGTGGGTGCGGCTAACTCCCCATGAGGTAATTGTATGACATCCAGAATAATCCTAAGAAGACATGGTCCCAAGCCGATACTTGGCATTTAGTAATTGGTACATGTTTTGTTAAACCCCCCATAAGCACCCCCCGATTTTCCAATAAAAATGTTGGCCTACTTCCACACCGGATATATCGTATAATCCACATCACTTCTGCTTCTATTGTAAAGGTTCTTCGCTTTGCATCGAATTAAACCACATGCTCCACCGCTTGTGCGGGCCCCCGAGCGGTATCTGAAAACATATCTTGAGGACGCCCTACCTATTCCGACTGGGGAGAACAGGCCATTCGGCAGGGGGATTCCGAAATTGTGGAGCCTTGGTTCGACCAAGCCGCTGAGTATAGTTGTTTTAAATAAGCACTCCCAAACACCCCCTAAATACCATATCCAACTGGTGTGTATGATAACCACCATATCCAACTGGGTCCAACCCCTTGAGTTAACATTCTTCTAATTAAAGGGTTGTTATCAATCGTTTACCCGACAAGAGTTACCATCCTCACTTATTTCATTGAGTAACATTTCTGACCATCAAAATGGATTGTTGGTAAGCGCTAACCGGATATATCTTCCAGCTCGCTTATTGGGCAAGTTTCTTGGTCATTGTTACATCTCTTATCATAAAGATTCTCAATCTTTAAGGTAAATTACACCCGATAAGTGTTCACAAAATGGCCCCTAACACTAAGGTTTAATGATGGCTCATTAAGGGAAAATTAAAGAATGACCAGCTCATAGCAGGTTTTTAACTTTTATTACCTAAATCACATTGTAGGGTAGCCCTATGCCAAAGTCAACATTTCAATTTGACTCTCCCAATCATACTCTTTCTCAAAGATTAGCCCAAAGGTAGAGCACGATCAGGAAAAAACAATGCAACAAATCCCCAGGATCTATACAGAATGTGCCCGACTAGGGATGTAAAACAACCGAACAAACACGAACCGAAGCTTGTTCATGTTCGTTCGTTTAACTTAACCGAACAAACGAACGAACACGAACGGTAAACGAACAAAAATCTTTGTGTTCATGTGTTCGTTTAGAAATCAAGTGTATTCATGTTCGTTTATGTTCGTTCGTTAACATGCTAAAAGAACATAAACGAACGGGTTAAAAGAACATAAACGAACGGGCTAAACGAACATAAATAAATATTATTTAAATTCAAAGTAAACAAAAAAAAAAGATTATATATTATATTTAATATATAAACGAACATAAACGAACGAATACAAACGAACATAAACGAAAAAATACAAACGAACATAAACGAATGAATACAAACGAATATAAACGAACGTAAACGAACGGCACTCGATTACCATGTACGGCATAAAAGTTCAAACAGAGATGCACAAGGAAATACCTTACATAAAGGCCACCCGTAGCAATTATCCCCGAAACGCTTTCTGTAACTTTGCTCAAGAGTGAAAAGGCCACAAAAACGATAACGGATTCCTGCTCCCCTGATTTTGGTCACTGTCCTCTGTACTGCTACCACCATTAGTACCTTGGGAGGGCAGTTCCAGCCGGCAAACAGGGCAAGAATTGTGCTCAAGTAACCAAGGCATGATACAACCAGAATGATAGATATGGTTACACGGCATCATCCTAGCTTCAGATCCTAAATCGAACTTATCTTGACAAACTGGGCAGTTAGAATCGTTGTTAAGGTGCCTGTTTGTTATCCTAATAGTCGGCAAAGAATCAATTGCAGAGCGGGTTGCTGGAGGTGGACCCTGCCCAGCATCATTTGCTATAAGTTGTTCGACCAACTCTTGAAAACTAGTCCCCATAGAGATATTACTTGAGTTAGAAGGCCTTGAGCCCACTGGAGCTCCATTAAAGAAGCACTCAAATTCATCATCAGCAGACATAAGATATCCCCATGGAACGATACCATCTTCAAGGAGAAGAGAAGATCTTCTATTACCTAAATTTCTCTGCCTCAATAACTCAGCAAAGGCATCCATGATTCTGTTTCTAGAGTCAATGAATGGATCAATGAACCAATGGTCAGAAACATCATGTCCATGAAAAGGATCAAAGTCGTGTTGTCCATCAACAACCATCTCATTCAGTTCTTGCACGAATCCTCCTGAGCAACAGGAGCAAACTGGATTGGGACTTCGAAGCCGAACTGGTTGCAGGCATTGGTAGCACCAATGTGTATTGCTGTCACCTGACATTTCTAGGAGGTGATAGATGTCACAGATAAGTTATCTCAGACCCGAAACCAGAAGTATTCTGCATTCACAGAGTATTGTAAGATGATCCTTCAACTTTTAGTTATTTAATTTTTCATCAGATCTTAAACAAACATTACTCCATCCAAGTACAAATGAAAATACTTTTACAAGGAAAGAAATTAAAAAAACAGGAAATAGAAAATCTTTATGATAACCCATTCTTTGTATTTTCTGCCCTTCAACTTTTAACAACTAGGTAAACAAGAGACAAACTGTTGAAATTACTAACTCAATCAAAGTCGGTCCAGAACTAATGCTTCTAGAAGTAGATTAGACTGATTTCATTTGAAAGTTCTTGTTTGATAAGGTAGCATATAACCCTGATATAACAAAAAATAGAAACATTCTCAACCTTTCAATAAAGTCTCCCTATTTGAAAAACAAGAGTGACAATAACATCTTTATACCCAATGCAGCAACTATTCAGTAGTTAAAACTAGACTATAGACAATGTGGCATCCACTAAGCCAATGTTCAAACAAATGATTTCCAAAAGAAAGAAAGCATGTAAATGTTTAAAGCAGCTTGCCTGAACAACATGAATACTGAAAACAGTAACACCCTTCCAAACGAAAAAGTAGTCAATGATTAGAACTAAGAAAAAAGTCATAAAAAATTTGCTTGGCTAAACCTCATATCAACAGAAAAAGAAGATGCACAAATGCTTTCATCTCTTCCGAAGAACCTGAAGAAATAGATAATCCTAACATATGCATGCCTAATGCAAGAACCACTCAATTATTAAAAGTAAAAAAGATTCACGTGCACTTGGCCAAACTTGAAATCAATTAATCCCCAAAAGGATGAAAAAATGTGCCATTGCTTACAGCATCTCTGGTTTAAAACAAGAGAAGGAACCAATGGTTGCAACATATGCATTCCTAATGCAACAACTATTCAACAACAAACCTTGAATGGGAAAACATTTGCCATTCACACAGATCAAACGTTAAAACACGAACACTATCTTGCCTCTCTTATTAAACGAAAAGAGAAAATCATTAAAAAATAGGGTGAAATACAAACACAAAGAAGTAGAAATTCAAGTAGACCTGAAACAAATCAGGCAACAGATTCATACATCATGATTTATGAAGAAGATAAGAACATGTGTTGCCATCACAACTTATAAGCACTTTTCTCAATAAAAGGAATGTTGAATTCATCTGTGGTACAATTCAAATGAAAATCTTACTATAAATATATGTAAAAGAAAGTCCATCACAAAATACCTACGAACCCTCTAATTCTTAACCACTCCTAGCAACTATGATGCTTACCACCATGACAACTCACCAAGCAACCATGTTTGACTAGTTGCAAACTCTATCATCCACACTAACATTATTACTGGCAATGCTGGCTTTCAAGGTAGCAGTAGCACATGACATACTCGATATGAATTAAGGAGATCTCTAAAATTATTGCCTGGGGTGGCCATCAAGCTTGCAACAAACAACAGGTACACCGTACATGTAGAGGGAAGGGCAAGTTAAACAAGTCTTGCACTCCCTCAATTACACAACAAAGTTCCCTTCATATCTTTCATTTTGTTTTTTAAACATATGAGCACATTTAGTGTAAAATGAGACAAGTTACTGTAGTGAATCCCTTGTAGTTACATGTATCCTTAATTTTGGCAAATTTTGCAAAAAGAATTCCTATTTTCTAACAATCGAAGAAATACATAAACCAAATTCAGCCACGTGACGTATTTAACTTCTCCTTGATTTTCGAAACACAAAAATGTACCGTTCGTACCCTTTCATGCTCTCAACAGCTATCAACATTTTCTTACTTGAACCAAATGCACTCACAATATATCACAGTGTTGGTATTAGGTCGGAATTATAATAAATCGGAAGATAATTTAAACGATTCAAACTATGGTATTCCGAAGACGGTTCAGATAACATTCAGAATTTGAAAAAATTAGATCCACGAGAAACAAACATACAATTCCGTTTATGCATCATACATTTAAATACAATTTCACAATAACACACTCGAGAACTCGATTTTCAATAGAGAATCAACAAACATGTATGATCTTCAACAACAAAAAATAACAACCAAAAAACGAAATTAACAAATTGATAAAACAGACTTAACAATCGAGGCTCGATGAAAACAAATCTAATTCAAGATTCCTGATAACATAATCGCATACCAGTAGATGATGTTCATGCTTGTGGTCACCGGAACTGTGCGACGCCGGGAAAGAGAGACGGTGAGACGAAGCGAATGCAGTGTCGACATGGACAAGGAATTTGTTTCAGGCAAAAAAAAATACTGAAAATTTATACACGCGAGTTCTGAAAAGCTACCATGAGAAATTTTACATTTTAGTCCTTTAAGTTAAGCTCCATGTCTATTATAGACACCAAACTTTCAAAACATAATAAAAAAAGAACTTTATAAGTTCCATTCAATTTGTTTCTAAGTTATTATACAAGAATATGGAGGTGTTTGAGATTATTTATAAAAATAATTTATTGATTTATAAAAATAATAATAATATAATAAAAATTTTTGTAGAAAAATATAAGTTGTTTTAAATAAGCAATTCCAAATATATCAGTTATTATTTTATAGATATTTTTTCAATAATATATATTTTTAACTTATATATCTGCATTAAATTTAATAAAATATAGGATTATCTGAAGTAAACAAAGTTAAAATTTGATCCTAATTTGTACACAGTCACGAGGGTTTGGTTGGTAGAGACGATGAACATATTACATATATCCTTTGAAAACACGTGTCTTTGATACTTTTTTCTCAACCATGGAGGCAACCTTGTCTGTAGCCAGCACTACCACGCTATTCTCCACTGCCGTTGGCCATGCCTGTCGGAGTCAATTGGCGCTCCTCCACTCCCGACGGTTTACTACCACCGCTAACACTGTGTTTCGGAGATCACCGGGTAAGTTGGGATTAAAATCTCCGTTGTTTCGGTTGAGAGCTGCGGTGCCTTCCGTTTGGTGTCGATTTGAGTGCCTTTCGAGCTCAGCTGCTTCGTTTGCTTCCCCCTCCGGTGATGGGGAAATTGGTGGAGGTGGAGAGGTCAACGCGAATCCGGTAGCTGGAGGAGTTGATGTTTCCGTTTTGTCGTCAGATGTGATCATTCTTGATGTTGGAGTAAGTAATTCTCTCCGTATATTTACTTTAGTTATTGATTATTTATCAATTAGCATCATTTAATTGTGATTGAAGTTGAATATCATGATCAAATACCTAAGAATTTCACGCAAATATTGTAATGATTCATCTTTTTACAAAATATGACCCATGGAGAATATGCTCTGTTTTTTGTTTGGGACGGATGGAGAAAGTGGCATTTGTGGAAGAAATGGATGTTTGCAAGCATGAGAGACCTCACTCAAGATTAGCAGTTCATAAGAAATCGATAAATAGTAAACATATATCAGATTTTAGGATGTATGTAGTGTAATTTTTAAAAATTACAAAACCAGTTAAGACCTATCCTACAATTTCTGGTATTTCAACTATTCCCTAGATCAGAATGCAATGTTCTCATTTCAAACTATTAGAAGGATAGAAGCTAGAGCATTCTCCAATCAATTTTTCGGTGAATACAATTGTGTCTTCTGGCATTTTTGATGAAATACTCTACTACGAAGAACTTAGACTAAAAAAGTCATCCAAAATGTGACGGGTGCCCCCTAAATTGCCTCCACCCGATCAAATCACGAATAGATGCCAACAAGACTCACCTATTGATAGAAGAACTAAACATATGTACAGATTTGAACCACGTTTCTAACTACTATGTACATTGTTAAGGAGTATACGATAGGTAAAGGTTTGAATGAACAGAATGAAATTAGAAAGGTAATCATGGTTGGCTTGTTTTTGTGGTTTCTTTTTGCCTATTTGCCCCCTCTTATGGTACATAAATGATCTTATTATGACTTCCCATTTTTATGTCAATGTGAGGCTCCCTTTGTTTTATGTTTCTCAACTTCTAACCGTTGTCTCTGTCAGGATATGATGTGTGGAGGATGTGCAGCAAGTGTAAAAAGAATTTTGGAGAGTCAAGTATGTACTTCTCATGCCTTACATGTTATTGCTTTGCTATTTGTGTTCTTTGACAAAGTATAATAAGCAAAGATATTCAGACTTCAAATGCAATGGCTTGTTTTGATTTAAAGCGTACCTCTACCTTATTGTATCTGTTTTATAGCCTTTAGGAAATGACCGCAGCTTCTTAGAAGAAGAACCACGACAGGGCACAAATCATAAAAAGGGGCCCGGGGGTGGGGGGTGCAACAAAGCCACAATTAGGAACTTATTCTTTGTCAGTGTATATATCTGTACACAAACCGGGTCAGTGAAGATACTGATACTCTATATGTGACAGGCACAGGTATCTTCTGCCAGTGTGAATCATACAACAGAGACAGCAATTATATGGCCTCTACCTGAAGCCAAGGCTACACCAAACTGGCAGAAAGTAATGGGAGAACAACTTGCGAAGCATTTGACAGCTTGTGGATTTAGCTCTAACCTTAGAGGTAAGAATCTTCACTGTAATTTTGAAATCCCCTGCTATATTGCAATTCGTAAACTTGACCTCTATCTTCTTTTTATATGTATAGCTGTGCTTCCGATATCAGCAGTTTATCATAATAGTATTTTTGATTGAATATCTTTGATATATGGTGTTGAACTTGGTTTATTTTATGTTGCTTCAATCTATGTATAGTGGTGGTGAATGAAAACATTGAAAGAGGTATTATTGCAATATCAAGTTGCCTGTGTAGGAAGATGGTTGTTGAACTGGTTATTGGGTTTTAAAATGTTGCAAGATATCGAGGATGTTTTATCCTTCCACTGGTGTGTTGTATTTGTAACCTCAACTCGTGAGCAGTAATTGGTTTTATAAGAATGGCCTCTGGTGTACATGACGTTAAAGGAATCTGAATATGACTAGAAAAGGGTGTCTATTTTTCTCCACTCTACGAGTAATTATTACTTGACGTTAAAGGGTGTATGGATTTTTGGTTAATTCTCTGTAGAGGCTTCTATGAACAAGAGGAGACTTTGACTATGTACTCGGTCTCATTTGGGTTGGTAATTGATACGCAGGTGAGGCTGCGTCTGAAGGAGAGCCATCTTAGAGATGCAAAGGATTCTTGTAAGAAGAACATCATATTCCTTTGTGGTATGTCCTTGTTACTCAGACTCACAATCTTTATTTATTTATTTATTTTTTCCAACTTTCCTATGGCTGTTGCTTGTTCATACCAACAAGATTTTAAAAAACCACCTCTTATAAATATTGCTAAAATAACCAAGGGGCCTATGGCCTAGCGGTACGTAGAGCCCCTGGCCTTCCGGGAGGTCTAGGTTTTAGACCTCACGGGTGTACGTTTATTTGTTGTTCATTTGCCATGTGTGTGTATATATATATAAATATAGGTAGGTTCAAGGAAAAACCTAAAAATACAAAACTTAGGAACACCTTAATAATCATTCATCTGTACGATATACACATGTGCATACAAGTAATTGAAGTTGTTTCTTGGTTTCTATGCACGTGTGCATGTTATAAACATGTGTATACAGGACAAATTACTTGCAAATTACTTGTATGCACATGTGTATATCATATGGATGAATGATTGTCAGAGTGTTCCTCAATTTTTCATTTTTTTATAGTTTCCCTCTAAACTTGACCCTATATAAATAGAGGATAGGTCATGCAAGAAGTAAAACATTTTGCAAGAAGGCGAGAAGTTTTAGTATCATATATGATTACACTTCTTTGGGTGTGTTTAATCATATATGATTAAATGCCTATGTGTTGTCAATGCAACGTGTAACAACCCACATATTCCATGTACAGGTAATTCACATCATCATACTTATAACACCGAATGTAACATTGTTTACATAATACAGATAAACAAAAACTTTCTTGTTATACATTTTGAATAACTAAATGTCATTCATTCTAAACTTTTCCCTTGCCTTTATCTTACGAGGTATGATGACCTGCAAAACAGGTTAGTCCAACAACTGAGCGTTAGACCAAAAAGGTCTAGTGAGTGTATAAATCCCAAACAAACAACATACTTTCCAAACAATCAGTTCAGAATCAAACCTGTTCCGACACATAAACTTATTTATGTCTTTCGCGGTTACACCGCCATTACATCCCTCTCGTGGTTACACCGCCATTACATCGCTCTCGCGGTTACACCGCCATTACATCGCTCTCGTGGTTACCCCGCCATTACATCTCTCTCGTGGTTACCCCGCCATTACATCTCTCTCGCGGTTACACCGCCATTTCATGTCAAAAATATTTCAACACATTAACCGGATTTGAAGTCCGGTCAATCTTGTCCGGATATGTAATCCGGACAAACGCTTAGATTATCAAGAGTAACCATCATCTTCGGTCAACAATCCGAACAGCACCTCGTATAAGTTTTGTCCGGTTAACACTTAGAATTAAGTTAATATCTTTGTCCGGATATCAAGTCCGGACAATACCCCGCTCACAACTTAACCGATTAAAATAGTCCGGACAATACATCGTCCAACCCTTGACCGATTTAAAGCAATCCGAACAATACATCATCCAACCCTTGTCTGATTTAGATAAGATCCGGACAACACTTGAGCGGTTTATAATCCGGATGAAATTGTCCGGATATTAATCCGGTCATCACTTAGACGATTTAAGGAAAAAAAAATCCGCACAATATGAAATATAAATCATAATAACCAGTTCCAAAAACTACTGAATTGTATGCAAACAATTTATACTCAAAGCTTTAATACACTCACCTTACAAAAGATGTTGAACGGATTTGAACCTGAGATTACCAATCTGCACTCTCTCAAATGACTTTTGTACTCAAGAATCTCAGCCACCTTTATTTCTCATATGCACTTGCTATATATAGCAAGTGCATAAACCGGGAAAAATATCCACACAATATGAAATATAAATCATAATAACCAGTTCYAATAACTACTGAATTGTATGCAAACAATTTATACTCAAAGCTTTAATACACTCACCTTACAAAAGATGTTGAACGGATTTGAACCTGASATTACCAATCTGCACTCTCTCAAATGACTTTTGTACTCAAGAATCTCAGCCACCTTTAATTCTCATATGCACTTGCTATATATAGCAAGTGCATAAACCGCCAACATATTTATATATTTCACAATCACCCACACAAACACACACACACATCTAATATGTATATATATATATATATATATATATATATTCTAATTTCTAAATCTATAACCAAAATTATGAAACCCGAATATTACAACACTCCCTCCTTAAAAGAATTTCATCCCGGAATTCCATTTAAGCAAAAAGGTAAGGATACTTCATCCGCATATCTGATTCTGATTCCCAGGTGGCGTCTGGTCCCTTATGATAACGCCACTGAACCTTTACTAACCCAATCTCTTTGTTTCGCAATTTCTTTACTTTGAAGTCGGTAATTTGTTCAGGGGTTTCTTCATAGCATAATTTTCCATTTACCTTAATTTGAGGTATTGGTACTGTCACATCTGGACTTATTAGACACTTCCTCAAATTTGACACATGAAATGTGTCATGGATCCCACTTAATTCTAATGGAAGTCCTAACTTGTAGGCTACTTCCCCAACTCTTCCCATAATAGGGAATGGTCCAATATATCTTGGACTTAACTTCCCTCTTTTTCCAAAACGTACCATTCCTTTCCAAGGTGATACTTTCAACATTACTCTATCACCCACTTGAAACTCAATCGACTTCCGACGTTTATCTGCACAACTTCTTTGTCTATCTTGTGCCGTTTTCATTCGTTCCCGTATTATTCCAAATATTATCTGCTGTTTGCTGAACTAACTCAGGCCCAGCTAACTGTTTTTCACCTATTTCATTCCAACACAATGGAGTTCGACATTTTCGTCCGTACAGTACCTCGAAAGGTGCTGCTTGAATACTTGAATGGTAGCTATTGTTGTACGCAAATTCCACCAAAGCCAAATGACTATCCCATGATCCTTCAAAATCAATGACACATGCTCTCAACATATCTTCTAAAGTTTGGATAGTTCGTTCACTTTGTCCATTAGTCTGAGGGTGATAAGTTGTACTTAGCTTAATTTGTGAACCCATTTCTCTTTGGAAACTCTTCCAAAACATGGATGTGAACCGACTATCCCTATCAGAAACAATTGACAGAGGAACACCATGTCGTGTCACTACCTCATCAATGTATATTTTGCCAATCTCTCCATCGAATATGACTCTTTCATAGGTAAAAAGTGTGCAGATTTAGATAACCGATCTATTATCACCCATATAGCATCATACCCTTTCGATGTTCTCGGCAATTTGGTTATGAAATCCATAGTGATATGATCCCATTTCCATACCGGGATTTTAAAGATTGTAACTTACCATAAGGACGCTGGTGTTCAATCTTTACTTGGAGACATGTCAGACATTGCTCAACATGATTAGCAATATCTTTCTTCATACCTGGCTACCAATAATGTTGCTTCAAATCCCGATACATTTTATTTGTACCTGGATGTATTGCAAAACGTGACTTATGAGCCTCACCCAGAATACGTTTTCTGAGATTACCATAGCATGATACCCAAATTCTATTTTGGAATTTCCAAAATTCTCTGTCATCTTTCACCAAATCAGATATTAATCCACTCAATCTTTCCTGTCTGATCTTATCCTCCTTTACTACCTCATGTTGGAAATCTCGTAATTCTTCTTGAATACTGGGTAGCAACTCAACTCGTAAAGCTATAGCTTTGATAGTTCCACTTTTCTCTTGTCGACTTAACGCATCAGCTACTACATTTGTTTTTCCTGGATGATACAAAATTTCACAATCATAATCACTTACCAATTCCAATCATCTTCTCTGACGCATATTCAGATC